CTTTAAATTCAAAACTTTTCAAAAAATTTTTTTACGCATTTAAGAATTTAAAATTTTTAAGATAGCCATTTTGTTGACCATATTTTTTAAAACAGTTCAAAAAAAAAAAAATACTAAAATTAAATACAAATTGACCAAGTTAGAGCAAGTTATGTTTTTGAATAATTGTAGTAAAAAAATTAATTAGGAATGTAAAAGTATGGTCGTGTGCTGAAATTAGATATTTCATTATTGAAATGTGAAACAATAATTTATTTTTTTAATAAATCCTTGTACCAATTTATTTTTTCCGCCGTAAAGGATTTTCCGTTATAGGGAGACTACAATATACAGGATATAAGTCATACCTACGGGACATTTGTTATTTTCCGCTATAAGGAGATTTCCTTCTCACAGGTTTTCCGTTATAAAGAGGTTTTACTCTATATTCCATTACGCCCGAAATCATAAATGGGCAATAATTTGTTTGTTTTTTTTTATTGGTCTAAATAATTAGAAACTATGGCCATTAGCATTCTATGGGAGGGTTATAAGGTTGGATTAGAGTTACACGTGTGTATATTATGTGTATGTGTAAAGCGAGGATTCGTCGCTGAATACATGAGTGGTCACCCATCCGAGCGACGCCGGACGATGCCCGACCGCAGGAAGCATTAGCGACTGATGGTCAACCACACCAGGCCCCGATTTCTATTTTTATTTGTATTAATAATATCAATAAAGTAAACGATAATATTGACTTGTTCAGTATTGGACAATATTGGTTCTTCTCCGTCCGAGATGGATCGACCAAGAATAATAATATTTGCCATAACATATTATTAAAGAGGCGCCGGCACTGCATCTAAATTCTAAGCCACTGAATCATAAACAACTGATGTGTGTACACACTGCGTACGTTTTTAAAGCTCAATTTTATTCGTATAAAATTCGCTGTAAAAGGATTTACCTGCGTCCATCCGCGACAAATGTTGCATAAAAAAACTTGAGAGTAAAAATTGTTCTTTTAGGATTTTATTATTTCACTGACGTATGAGGTCAGACGTGTACGATAAATGCATAATATGGACCTTTCAATATAACCAAACAAGTCTTTCATGCATTATTGATTTTCAAGGACATATCCTATATAGGAAATTTTTGATAATGAACAAGTATACTATACAAGTACTATACAAGTATAATATTACAAAATTAAATATAATTAGTTAATTTAATAAATTATGGATCATAATATTACTACCATGTCCGATGCTATTTGACATTATTTTCACTATTTTGTATTATTATATTATCTAGATTTATCAAAATATAAAGTTTTATTCCGTTTGAAATGACATATAATAATAATTTAGAAACTCTTCATAAAGTATTATTAATATACTGGGTGATACACTTAACCCGAGACGCTGATTATTTCAAAATCTGTTAACGTATTTAAAAACATGTTCTTTAAATATTATTTTAAATCGCTAAAAACCATATATTTTTTTAAACAAATTACAATTTTTTACTATTTTATTTAACATAATTGTTTTTCAATTTTTTTAAAAATCTATAATCTTTTTTTGTCGTGCTATAGGAAAAATCTACTTGTTCTGTTTCTCTGTATGAGGTCTAGTTTACATAAATAATTTAATCGTTTAATCTTATCATATGAAGTGACCCATCAAAAAAATTATGTGACTCAAAATTGGATCGCGACCTATAGACTTGGGAAACACTACTGTTATTATAGTTATATTGTATACTAAAAATATATTTAGTATATTATGCACAGTGTTGAGCCCAGATAACAAAAATAATATCTAGATAAGATAAAGATAATTTCGTAAACAATTATCTAGATTTGGATTCAGATGATCATTTTTACTTTTATCTAGATTAAGATAAAGATACATATTTTTTTATCTAGATACCTATCATAATAGATATTTTTATTTTTTGTTTAAAATGCGCAAAAAATAAATATATTTCTTAAATTATTTTAGACAAATTCTTTTAGTATTTTACTATTTTATGACCATTCATTTTAATAAACAACATTTTTCTATGCAATTCCTTATTTAATTGTTAAACAATGATTTATTTCTGTCTACCTACTTTTTTACTTCAACTCAAACTGAACATTGAAATGTTACACTATTACGTAATAACAATATTATTTAGCTTTATATAAATAGACAAGAACGATATTATTTCATTGAAACCATTTCTAGTAATCAACATTACACGAGAAACGTAATAATAAATAACAAAGAACAAAACACATTCGTATGAATATTATACTATTATAATATTATTATTGTCAATAAAATTACTGCTAAGAAAAAAATTAATATATTCACGATTATTTTCAGAAATAGTGTAATAATATTTTGTTTGATCAATGACAAGATAAAATAAAAAAATTAAAAGTACCAAACTACCAACAAATCAATCGAAACTAAAAATTATTTATTTATCTAGGTATATTTATCTAGATAGGTATACAGTTTATCTTAGATGACAATCAGATACCTAATATTTTATTTATCTAGATGAGATAAAGATGCTGTAGTTTTATCTAGATACTGCTCAACACTGAATTTATGCATCATAGTATAAAATGTGATACAATGGATAGTATAAAAATATTTTGTTATCTTGATAAGTATAATTTAATTCCCCAGAGCAGAATATTTTTTGGAGCCCCTCGATACATGGCTTTTGCATTTTTGACAAGCAGTTTTGAGTAATAAATATTAGTAAGTGTATAAGTGTAGATGATAATGGAATAGGGTTATCCCGCAACATTTTGAACAACTACTCCATTCGTAGAAACTTTAAATACTTACCTATAAGGCTATAAGTATAACCATAGGGGCAAATAGGGCGGAAGGTTTAGGGGCAAGCTCCTCTCTCCAAACATTTCCTACATTTTTTAAAATCTTATTCAATATTTCTATAGTAGGCCCTGACAAATCTCAAACTCTATTTGCGACTATGCTTATAACTATTAAACTGCTTGACCGACATTTGATTTTTATGGATAAAAATACTTCGAATAAAATTCTGTTTAGGAATATGAAATTAAAAATTTTGTCATTAAACAGAATAATAAACTTGAACCGTTAGGTATATTTATATCAGAAATATAATTTTTTTTTTATGTATATTGTTTTGTAAACTTAAAATTATATAAAAGAAATATTTTCAAAAAATTTAATATTTACTGAAATAATGAATGTCTTACGTTAAATGGATCACCCCGTACATGTCTCTATTGAATTTAAAAAATATTTATTTATGTAACCAATATTGCAATATGAAACTTACTAATTTCATTTCAAAGACAGCAAATAAACTTCTCCAACAAAAACAACACAACTAAACATCTTGGAGTTTCTCTTAGTTTGACCTATAAAATGACATATTTCAATAACAAAACAACAATAGGTAGTTTTGAATAACTACATATGTATACCTTATGTTATCCTTTCGTATTTATTTTTGATTTGAGATATTCAACTAAACAAATTGGCAATTGGATGAATACTAATAGTTATTTATTAATAAATGGATTTGATATGGATGCTTATGGATTTAAGTTAGAAATTAGGTTGAAATTAGAATTACTTTGATGCTTTATTTTGTAAACATTTTTTACCCGTGAAAAGTACCAGCTATAAGTATTTTAAATTTATTATACACCCAAATACGTTTTATTAATTTCCTAAAATTTTTAAAACCTGAAATGTAACAAATATCATCATTAATAATATTCATGTTGCAAATAGTGCTGAAGAAACTATGAAGGAAAACGAATTACAAAATAATCAACACATGTTTTAATAATTATAATAATAATAATCATAATACATTTTACAATAATATATAAAAAACTTAACAAAACCAGGAAAAGACTAAAAACATTTTAAAGTGGTCTCTATAAAAAAAAATGGGAACAATAATTATTGTGATAAAGATAATATTGTATTGGGAAAATTTTCTCGAAGTATATTTGAGATACTATAATATACTATATAAAATATATAAAGAAAACCAAACAATACAAATCATAACCCTCGACATTTTTAAGGATGAATATAATATTATAACATATCAGATTCATTTAAAATTTTAATTTTAATTTAATATTTTTGTTCACTCAGCGTGTCGTCTCGTTAAATCAAACGCGTATATTATATACAAAACAACAAAAATCATCTAAATCAACTAACGTACATATATCTATTTCAGATATTATATTATCTCAATATCGTTTCTCACATATTTTCTCACCCCCCCCCCCTCGCTATTTCTCGCTCTCGTTGCCCTATCTTTTTTTTTCTCTCTACACATGCCATGACAATTTATTATAGACATTGTGTGAGAGATACTTTATTATTATATTATACTTGTGACAAGTGAGTCAGTTCAATCGATCTCATATCGTACCTGTGGACTGCAAACGTAGTACACACGGGGTATACACCACCATTCTAATATATGACAATGCGGTGATCATAATAATAATATTAATAATAATATGTAATAATGTAATAATTATGTAAAAATACATGATCCGTGATTCTGCGACGGGTGACCGCAGTTGTCTTCGCTACGGGTGTCCGAGGGCTATGCTGCAGACTGCACGTCGTGAGTGGCGTCAATCGTCGTGAGGTAATAAGTTCATTTCGGGGGATGACTGAGAAGAGGGTAGGTGGTGGTGATCTCCTTGTTCACACCATCGGATTGGACGCATATATTGTAGAGCGGTGGCCGGCAAACAGTTAGGAAAGGGACGGGAGGGGTTGTCCGCGTGGGGCGAGTACGTTACATGTAATAATGATAATAATAATACGTGGCGGATGAGGAAGAAGTGGACGAGGAAGTTGAGCTTATTAATAGTTATATTTTTTGTTATAATAATATGTTTGGATAATTTAATTTTGTTTTTTTTTTTTTAAGTTAATCATTTAGGTATTTCAAAAAAGTGTGAAACCCGTATTATATTTTTACATCATCCGTTCTCGTCGCCTGGACAACAGTCGGACAGCGGCCGTCAAGAACAGCACGGTTATGGTCGGAATCAGTCTTGGCGTCGAATCTGAAAATAAAAAAAAACATCGCCAAAACGAATTAGCACTCCGATCACGTTTCTTTCGGTATCATTATTATTATCTCTTATATATAAATATATATAATACTATTCGCAGAGCACAACGAGATATGACACTCGATATCGATTTATTCCCCGACGATTACAAAATTTGTCGTATTCCTTGCGGCCAAGTATAAGGCAAACAAATAATAATAATATACGAACGCATCGAGATTTCGGAATGTATAAAATATAATAATATATTATTTGTATTATCATTGTTCGCTGCTACGGATCATATATTATTGTTAGTTTATCGTCGTCGACGCGGAACAAACGTATTTGCGTGATGCGATGTGTATAATGTCATTTTTATAAAACACACAGTAAAATATATTACGCACACACATATTATTATATAATAATAACGTCATATAGGTAGGTACATAGTGTTTATTTCTGTTATAGTGTTATGTAAAAAAAAACAGAAAATTATATATTTTGTATTCATATTATTAAACATTTTTAAGGCCGTTTTTTTTTTTAATGAGTATATTATTTAAATAACGAGAGCACAAAACATGCTTATATAATGACGATGACAAAATAATATTATATTACATGGTGTGTGTGTGTGTGTGAGAGAGAGTGTCCAACAAACTGCAGTTTTATGATCAAACTCGCTCATTTCTATGAATAAACGTTTACATAACACAATATTAATTATACATTATGGTGTCGTGTGGCCTTTGAATCGTATATGCACTGTTAAGTACTTAAAATTAATTTATGTTTTTAAATATTCATTGGTCGGAAAGTATACATTAAGGACATTTTTACTTTTGACCCCCCAAAGTACCAACTAGATTCACTTTCCTATCAGAAAAGATACTGTTGAAGAAAATCCAAGCACTTTTACTGTCTAAAAACGTGATGACAGACCCAAAATAAAAAAAAACACACATCATTCTAAAATCAATACATTCATCGTTTCACTCAGAATCTAAAATAGATTAACTTTTTTTAAACTGAGTTAAGTTAATATTTTTTTCTATATTAACTTTTAACTTATCGAGTTAAATTTATAATTTGTTAACTGCTAACTTTTAACTAATCGATCTTGTGTCCTCTTAACTTAATTTAACTTGAGTTAATTATTTTCATTAACTTGCCCACCTTTGCTACTATAACTCTCAAACTCCTACACAAGCCTTAATGCTTACAAGAGGTTGATAAACCATATAATTATTATTGTTATTATCATTAAATGAAATATTATGTATTTACATTACATTACATCACACTACATAGGTTATAGCCTATAGGTAGTATAATGTGTATTATGTATTTATCAATAAACTCGCAGAGCCAATAGTAGGACGGTAAGCATAATAATTAACAAGTTGTATTCTGAAGGTGAAAATGTGATTATTTTCTCGACCTGGTTTGTCGGAATAATGATAAACGAATAAAAGTCCATAGTACGTAACACGTCGTTCAAACTCTTTTGAGGAGTTCAACTTTTTATGAAGTGTTTCACTTTATAAATCTCGTCAAGAGACTGTCTATTATACGAAAATGTCGGACGGATTTAGAGGGTTTATAAACTCCTCGATTTACAAAGTTCTGGGTCAGTTTGGCGTATATATCAATGTGTCCATGTGTCCCCTCAAAGATTATATTACTTGGAAACAATATTATTATTATTACTATTTTTATTTCAAACCGACGGTAAATGGTCTTATTTTTATTGGTCAAATTGATAGATGTGCAGCTCGAATCGTATAGGTACATGGGTAGGTACACAGAGTATATTAAATCGTAATAACTTTTGACAGGTAAAACAATGAAGTTTTATTTTTATTTAGTTTGTGTTTATAACAAAATTGCACTTAAATTGGCTGTGATTTGTTTTTACAACACTTTCAAATTTTCTTGATTAACAATGAATTTTACTCGAATATGTTATAAAAGTTATTATAATATTCAATATTCATTCCCAATATATTATATAGAATAACGATTATATAATATTATTATGGTACAATAGAGTTATTTTATATCTGCTATCAATTACTGAAATTATATTATAAACATTACTCAACACACGAACTATATGAAAATATACATGACAATTTATTCGAAGTAAGCTCGCATTTATTTTTGTGGTGGTTGTATTAAAATTCACCCAAGTCACTATTACTATCTACATTTTATAAGAGTGCAAAACAAAAATTTAATTTGATATGCTTCCGTATGCAATTTTATTATTTGATCTTTTGTACTTATAAATTCTTATTTAATCAATGTTAAGTTACAGCTGATATTGTAGGATTTTCAAGATGACATTCTGGATAATACTATATTAAATAATAAACAATTAAAATAAAAAAAATGTTCATTAAGTGCTTATGCCTACTTTTATGTTTTAACATTCAAGTTGTATTTTAGGTTTACTTTTAAATTTTAAGCAAAACGCAAGGTACATATTTTTTTTAACCTTTTAACAGCATGTTATTTTACATATTTTGTATCATATTAGACCGTTGCATCTTCTTCCATGAAACTTTGTTAAAAAAAAGTGTTGAAAGAAGTATAACAGTCTAAAATAGTTTTTATTTTTAACTCTTAAAAAAAATATACTAAATGTGCGTATTGCAGTTTTATCGACTTCAATAAATTTGGAACTTTTTCAGCAATTCATAAACATTTAAGTTTTTTTTTTTGTATTTATTATGACAGTGATATTGCTTCTCGATTAAAAAAATTTTACACAAGGTTTTCATAAGTTTTTCTTATAGTTCCTACTTAAAATATAATATAAAAATACATCGACACAATTTTTTTTAATAATAAGGTTATTATGTAGTTCAAATTTGTACTCATTAGATATTCAAACGTAAAATAACAATTTCAATTATTTTGTCGTTATTCAAAAGAATTCACCTTTGAAACTTTAAGCATTCAACTTCTTATTACTTATATTATAAGTTTCTAAACACAATGAAAATTTCAAAATATTTAAAACAGTTTTAATTAGTTTTATACCACGAACCTATTCACGCCATTCTACGGAACATCTGCCAAACATTTGTTGATTCAACCCATCCAGTTAAAAAAAAATATTAACTTATCGTATAAATATAACATACGATTTGTAAACCATTCATTGAAACAGAAGACGAACCACCATAATATCTTTAAATCAAAAACTAAAAATATACAACGGCTGAATTCATTGAATTCAAAATTGATTATTACAGTGGACTTTACTCAATAACCAGATACCCATAAAGTAACATAACTCTACAGCAGAGTGAGTTCCCTGCAGGTTATAAAATATTATTATTCTGTATTTTTCCCAATTCGAAATTCAAACAAATTATAATATAACTTTGGATTACCGCAAGTACAATAAATTTCAGATTATTGCACATCTATACTTTCTATTAAAAAAAACTGGTTGAACATTATAATATTAAAATCTATAAATTGACAGATTTTTCAAAAAATATTATACTAATATATTATTGTTTTAAATTATCTCGTGTTTACTATGTATGATTAGACAAATAAATAAATTAATTCTGCTATTATTTAATATTATATGTTATTTAAAAACTATTTTTGTAACGACTTCTGTAATCACAAATATGTAACGTTGAACGTCAAAAGCGCCCAACCATATAATTAATTAAAATAAAATATGCTATGCATACGTCAATAGGTAAACGAAAGTGTATACTTATATCATAAATTTGATATTATCGCGAACGCTTATGTGTGCGTGTTTATTACGACTTAAAATTATTATGTTTTTCGACGAATGTTCAAAAGTAAAATTCGTTTATCTTATGAGAATAAATCATTATAACATGTATTTGAAATATATAGGTACAAGTTGTTTACTTGGTTAATCGTTGCAAATATCTCATTTATTGTGTCTGTTGCGACAATAAATATTAAATGTTTTTATTTGTGTTTGTGCCTTAAGACGTTTCTAGAAGTTTCTGGAAGACTTTCAGTGGATATTACAATAAAGGGATCGCAGTGGATTTGAATAAAGTCAACGGCGGTATATAGGAATAGAGATGGCTGTTTGTTTGATACCGGGGATTGGAAAATCGGAGTGGAAAGTTAGAAGGAAGACTAGGGGCTGTAGGGTCTTCCGTATAGCTATTGTTATTACGGATTAAGCTTAATGTTTTGATTGGAATTATAAATTATTATGTACATGTGGTGCACATATATAAATAAATATATATATATATATAATATACTATAACATATATTATATATACATAATTTTTGATTAATCCCTGGACGCCGCCGCGTACGAATGAACATAATGTTACTATATTATAATTTATAATGATATTATAATAATATATGAGGTAAATATTTATGAATCATTAAAATTGTAAAACTACTATAATATCATTGAGTATATTCAGTATAATATACAATGTACATAATATGTTAGGTTCTCAGTGTATCCACGAAAACAGGACACACAGATAAAGTGAAGTTGTTGAGCATATTGTGAAAAATACGAAAGATAAAAAATTGCGATTCGTGGGAATTATTTATGATTCAATACCTAGTTTAGTCTAATGTCCCGCAAACAGAATTCAAAAACATGTATCGGGTACTTATGGTAATATAATATAATTAACAGAGTTTTAGAGTGTAGGTACCCTGTATTTGTAGATATACACGCGGTGTATATGCCTAATATCATATTTTTTTATCGAAAGGAAAATGTAAAACGTTTTTGTTATCTATTTTATCGAGTGTCTATGTATTATAGCAGGGGAGGCCAAACTTTTTTTTGATTAAGATCTACTGAGGGTATATTTTTTCTTTTAGGATATACAAATGTAAAAAAATGATTTTTTATTAATAATAAACATATTTATTGAAATAATAAAATAAAAGTGTACAGTTATCAAAAATGTAATGTTTCTCATTAAATTTGTAAACAGTTTTAAAATGAATCAACATTA